TCTCTCTCTCTCTCTCTCTCTCTCTCTCTCTCTCTCTCTCTCTCTCTCTCTCTCTCTCTCTCTCTCTCTCTCTCTCTCTCTCTCGCCCTCCCCCTTTACAGTACTCGTCTCTAATTTACTGTAGTCTACTTCACTCTCTACTCTCTGCTGTGCTCTACTGTACTCCACTGTCTACTGTACTCTACTATATTCTACTCTACTTACTTGTACTCCTCTCTCCTCTCCTCTGGTCTCCTCTGGTCTCCTCTGGTCTCCTCTGGTCTCCTCTGGTCTCCTCTGGTCTCCTCTGCTCTATTTGTCGCTAATCTAATCTATGTGCAGGGAATGCTTGCGCATGTGCATGCATAGCTCAGCGAGTGTGTGTGTGGGCCAGAGTTTATACCAGTAGTCAAGCAGATTGTTGGCAGCCGAGGTGAGCTGTGCGGTGTTAAACTACGCCGGATCTTTGCAGCGAGCCTTTTTTTCCACAACATGCTCCAGTACTTCAGAGCGTATTTTGTCTGATGCGGATTTTCTGCCATGCGCCGAGTTTTGGCGAACCGGCATGGTTGTCAAATGCAAAATTGTTGGTGGCGCCCACCAGCCATTTTGTTTCGGCAAGCCGAGCCCCGAAGTTTGCAGCACCACGTTTACAGCTGTGTCGGGCTGGGATAAGTACTGGCGAGTCTGGTGGTTTAAATCTGAGCACATATCTCCATGGTTTTACAATTTTACAATTAGCACTATCCCCGATTGTCTGCCTTCTTACCCCAGTAGGCCTAGATGGGATGTAAAAAAAAGGGATAAATGGGATCTAAAACCCCATGCTAAATTTGCCAAAAGTTTACGTAGATGTCCTCTTGTGAGCTGGACATCCTCACTGGGACCACTGATCTGAAGATTTAATATTTGTAATTTTAAATTTCGTACTAATTTTGTAGCATTTTTTTTTAATGATTTTTAAGTTTTAACTATTTAAGTCATCTGCTTCCAGTGGAGTTCGAACTCAGGTGTGTGCTTCAACAGTTCAGCAGGGGTGTACAAACTGATCCAACAGATCTCAGGGAATGAAAAAAATAAAACTTAGACGCATGGGATTTAAAACTGGACACTCACCAGCGGGCCTAGTTCAGTTGGTACACGCATGAACTGTTGACATGCGAACCTGACTTCGGAATTTGAATCCAGACCGAAGTAGATGAGCTGAATTCCTAAATTACCTGGGGCCGGTCACCTTCACGATGATATCTCAAGGCCGTCGCCTTTTTGAAAAACAAGGATTAAAGAACGAAAAGAAAAAGGAGAAAGAAAACTGGATGCTCACAGTTCTCTGTGGTGGTGTGTTGTGGCTGCCTTTGCTCTTGTGGGAGGGGGGGTCAATGGCATGATTGATGCTTGTGTTTTTTTTGGTGTGTGCTTGAGGGCGGGGC